GAAAAGTATAGGTGAACGATTTCTATTTCTTTTGTAATAATATAATTATGTTTACAAAGTAAACGGTCATTTTAATACTGAACTATTCGTTTTGAGCCAAAATAAGTACCAACTTTCTAATGAGTCAAAAAAATATCAAACTTTGGTTGACTCCGCCAAATTAAGTTTAGTCAACTTTAACRGCTGTTAAAAAACTGTTAACTACCATTTACTTTATCCGATAACTTTCAAAACAGCGTCGTTTTGCAATTAGAAAAAAAAATCTTCAAAAGGTCATTTTAATACCAAACTTTCCATTTTGAGCCAAAAAAATACCAACTTCTTAATGAGCCATAAAATACACAAACTTATGTTGACTCAGCCAAATTAGGTATAAAATTAGTTAACTTAGGACCAGAGTCCAGGTTCGGAGAGACGAGATCCTCAGAAACTTGATCGGCTTCGCACTTAGAACAGACAACGACATCAATGCACCAAAAAGATTCGACCAACATTTCAAGAACGAAGAAATAAAGAACGAGTTGATGAAAGAAGACTCATCGTCAAAACTCCAGCTAAGTAACATCATCACTCTGTTTGGGGTAGTTAGTTTCTTTTTACTTTACCGCTAAGTACTCATGGGTCGTTAGACGTAATCCCGAGGTTTTGGCAACCTCGAACAAGCCTAACAGTTGAATTTTCTATTCTTTTCCAAAAAAAAGGAAATAGATAGCAGTTGCTGAGGATATCACTCCTATGCAGCTCGGTCCTAAGGAGCATGTTCGCCCTTCCAGGTCTCTGGAATCAGGTTACGGGATCTCGTGTTTTAACATGTCTCTGGACTCAGGTTATGGCCTTCAAGGATCTCGGCTATCCATGTCCCCAGACTTTGGTTCTGGCTAAAGTTGACTAATTTTATACCTAATTTAGTTGAGTCAACATAAGTTCGTGTATTTTATGATTCATTAAGAAGTTGATATTTTTTTTTTGCTCAAAATAGAAAGTTTGGTATTAAAATGACCTTATGAAATTTTTTTCTAATTTCAAAACAACGCCATTTTAAAACTTAAAGGATAAAGTAAACGATAGTTAACGGTTTTTTAACGGCTATTAAAGTTGACCAATTCTATACCTAATTTGGCCAAGTCAACCAAAATTTGGTATTTCTTTTACTCATTAGAAAGTTGGTACTTATTTTGGCTCAAAACGGATAGTTCAGTATTAAAATGACCGTTTTCCCAAATATTTTTATAGATTTTTTTTTTTGTATGTTTGTGCATATAAACTTTATCATTGAGATTTCCATATTCTTTCTAATTTCTTTTTTCTTCAATTTATAAAATATATTTTTTTTTTATGATTCATATTTTTCTCTTAATTAAAATTTCTATTTCCTCTCTACTTTTTTATTGTTGTTTATAGTCGATCTCTATTTTCTTTCATAATTTTATTATTATAATCTGTTTAAACTATTATAAATCTTTTTCTCCTAACTATTTGCGATTATTAGAAAAATTCTTTTTATTATTTTGTTAGTTGCTTCGGAACTATTTGGTTCGTTTTGTATTTTTCATTTTACTTCTTTTTTTTTGTCAACCAAACATTAATTAAAATACTCCACCAGAATTGGTAATACAATTAGGCGGAAAATTGTTTACATAGAAAAATTCTAAAGCTCAAGAACGTGCAGAGCAGGTAAGACAGTCCGCTTTCAAATTAAGAGAACGAGAGATAAGCTGCAATGAGAAAAGAGGCAGACGGTCTTGGAGCTCCCTGAATCTTGACAAGAGGATAGAAAATGCGGGACTCCTCTTGTTTTCTGACCATATCCACCACATCTGAATAGTCTGTCTCAAAGGCATGACACTCCAAATCTCTCTCTAGTATGGATGACATTGCCCAAATTAGAGCTTCCAGCTCCGAATGCACCAGTGACCTTCGGTTTCGCAGCCCTTGCGCACCCAGAATGATGATATAAGCCCCTTGAACGCAAACCCATCCTACATCTGATGTAGAATCTTACTCATTCCATGAAATATCAACCCGACAGCGAAAATTTGCTGTTGGTTGTACCTGTGACAGAGGATGTCCTCTTTGCAAAACAGACTCCTCCGATGAGTCTAGTTGTGCATTTGTCCATGCCAAATATTCATACGGTGACTCCTCTGGTGATG